AAATTTTACATATGTGTACTCCCAAGGCCAGGTCAAGATCTCAAACAGTCTCTGGTTCTTCCTCGCATTCTTCACAGAAGCCTCACGTAGCCTCTTCCCAAGTACTCCCAAGCTCTCCAGTTGTAAACCTCTGCAGATTTTTTTGTGCCACTAGGTGAATTTTGCCTGTTCTAGAAGTTGGCGGGAACAAGCGGCTTCCAGGTCCCACACCTCTGTGAGAACCACCCCTGGAATTGCTGTCTGGTTGCTTCTTGTCCTGGACTTGCCTGTTAGAAAGGTGTCCCTGCTGGATGGGTTGAATCCATTCCTCCAAAAAATGTGCCCTGGGGTGGTGTTGGTGTAACGCAGGCAACTGTTGCTAGGTGTCATCTCCACCCGAAGATGGGTGATCTGTTCTGCGCCGTGGGTGGTCATTGCTTCCTGCCCTGACGGATTTTTCAGAAGCTCCTCCTCCTTCAGGGACCTCCTAAGTACTTCTCTGTGTCTCTCCCCTCTTGCTCCTTCTGGGTCTCTCTCTGTCCCTTTCCCCTCTTCTCTCTATCTGTGTTCATCTCTGTGTCTCTCTTCATCTCTCTGTCTCTGTCGCTTTTACCTCTCTCTGTGTGTGTGTCTGTTTCTCTCTCTTGTCTCCTTGTATCTTTCTGCCTCTCTGGGTTTCTCTGTTTCTTCCCACCTCATCCCCTCTTTCTCTCTCCGTTTCTCTCTTTCTCTCCCTCTCTCTCTCTCTTTTTTTTTTTTTTTTGAATCAGGGTCTCACTCTGTCATCCAGGCTGGAGTGGAGTTCAATGGTCGATTGAATGAGCAAGGTGAGCGATCTCAGCTCACCTCATCGTTGACCTCCCGGCCTCAGGTGATCCTCCCACCTTACCCTCCCAATTAGCTGGGACTACAGGCATGCACCACCACACCCAGCTAATTTTTTTTTTTTTTTTTTTTTTTGTAGAGATGGTATTTGGCCATTTTGCCCAGGCTGGTCTCAAACTCCTGGGCTCAAGCCATCCTCCCGTCTCGGCCTCCCAAAGTGTTGGAATTACAGGCGTGAGCCTCCATGCCGAGCCTTCTCTGTTTCTCTCTGTCTCCCTGTCTGCCTGTCTCTCTCTGGGTCTTACTATCTCTTCCCCTTTCTCTCTTTTTCTGTCTTTGTTTCTCTCTGTGTGTCTCAGTTTCTCCCCCTGTGTGTGTTTCTGTCTCCTTGTTTCTTTCTCTCTGAATCTCTCTTTCCCCTTCTCTCTCTCTCCATTTCTGTTTCTCTCTGACTCCATCTCTGTCTCTTTTTTTTTTTTTTTTTTTTGAGACAGGGTCTC